AGGAATGCCACTGCTTTTGAGTACCTGGAGGAGTTCCCCATGCAGGCGCTGGCCCAGCTGGAGACGATCACGGGAAGAAGGGCAAGGCACGGGCTCTTCGTCATCAGTATGGAGTACGGCCGGAATTTCTCTGGGCCCGACAAGGACGTCTTCTTTTATGACCGCTCTGTGGGGCACACGGAAGACGCCTGGCTGTCTAACTTCCTCCATCCTGTCATCTACTACTACAGGCACCTCCCCACCGGTGAGCTGGGTCTCCGCTCTCCCCCGAGCGAGGGCACTCCTCGGACCCCAGCGCCATTAAGCTGTCGTGCAGCACCCTCAGCTGACAGGACGGGGGCCGCTAGGGGCTCTGCCCAGAGCCTAAATGGGGCAGATGGTCCAAGAACGATAAATGCTATTCCCAGATTCTGGCCCACACGTCGACCTGGGCAGGCCACGTGTGGAGCGGCGTGATCACCTCCAGGCACCACGTCGTCAGAGGGACACTGTTGTTGCTGTCTCCAGAGGAGGCTGACCGTGGAGTGGGGAGCAGGGATCTGGGGACTGACTCTTAGAAGGAACAGGAAAGGGAAGGGGAACTGGTTAGCACAGGAGGGGAGCGGGAGAGCTGGGCAGTGTTCCCAGGGCCCTCCTTTCCTCGCTGTGTGACCTTGGACCATTACTTAACCCCGCTGAGCCTCAGCTTGCTTGGGTGTGAAATGGGGGTGGCCATGGTACCCTCCTTGTAGGATGAGGGTTAATGAGATGATACAGCACAACTCCAGCATGGTGCCCGGCACAGAGTAGCTACCAAATGATGACCAACCTGGGGAACACGACTCCTGCTTCCAAACTTGAAGGGATGTCCCCTGGAAGAGGACGATCTAAAAATAGAGGTCGTTCCAAAGGGCGGAGGTAGTGTCAACAGGTAGAAGTGACAGGAGCGCAGGTTGACGTTCACTCTAAAGGAGCAGCGCATCGTGAATGCTCCCAGAGTCCCCCGATGCAGGGATGGCCATGGCTTGGTGCCCTGTGGCAGGGACACACAGAAGGGCACCCACCAGGTAGGAAACTGGACTAGAGGGGCCCTACGACCCCTTGGATGCAGGACCCCAAGTCTCCTCACAGAAAGGCCAGTTTCAAAGCAGCCACAAGAGACCTCAGCTCACGTAAGTCTTAGAAGCAAACCAAGTTCAAGTGACTGGTCTTAGTCCTGCCCGCTGACAGTGCAGGGGATGAGTCTAGTCTAGTCCCTCTCCCTCACGTCCACCTTTCAGACATTTGGAAGGACAGCTGAAACAGGCTGACCATGGCCCATGCAGAGGTGCATCAGGAAGGCTGAGCGCGAGGGGCTGGGGGGCAGGCACCTGGGATGTGGCCCTGGGAATGGAAGCCCCGCGCTCGGCTCTGACATGGCGCCCTTTCTCGTCCCCACAGAGCAGGAGGTGAGGTTCCGCCCCGCAGGCTGGCCTCTGCCACGGCCCACGGCCATCCACCACATCGTGGAAGATTTCCTGACGGACTGGACGGCCCCGGTGGGGCACATTCTGCCCCTGAGGCGCTTCCTGGAGAACTGCTTAGACACCGATCTCCGGAGCTTCTATGCAGGTAACTTAAGTTTCCCGAAGGACGAAGGGGCTGAGCTGGAGGGTGAAGAAGACCAGGTACATCCGTGCCCTGTGGAACTGCAGGACGTGCATCTAGAAACCCAGACCCAAGGCTTCCATCTGCTACAACGGGAGGACTCGGTGTTCACAGAGACCCCCTCCCAGTACAGCACACCTGCGAACACTGAATAAAATGTCTTTCTTAAAAAACCGGCAGAAAAATAAGGGAACTCCCCAGAGGCCAAACACCAAGAAAAGCACAAACCCACCATTGGATGAGAGATACCTGCTGGTTGTCAGTGGCCTAGAGCCCGGGTAACTGACCAGCACTTGGAGCTGGGAAGGCGAGGCTGGAGCAGGGTAGGATGTCTGTACAGAGACCTTTAAATAGAGCTGGGGTCTCAGTACGTAAAGTAGAAGGCGGAAAGCACTCCCAAGAGAGATAGAGGGGACGCACGCTTTTTGGCTCTGGGTAGAGTGGGGGGAAAATCTCCCCTGAGAATTTCCATCCACTAGGCCTCACTCGTATGAATTTGGGGCCAAAGTTCACACTATCGTTGTGGTGCAGAAATCACAGAAGTCAATGTGAGTCTTCTGTGAGGACACATACCTTAAAACTAGACCTCAAATTCCCCCAGATAAAGTTCCCAGGAACATGAACTCCCAAGCAGAAATCACTTAACACATAAGGATACAAACTACCATGAGGGAGTGTCAGCAGAAGCAACACACTGTAGGATGAAACCTACAAAGACTGTGGAAAATGGAATGGTCAGAGAGAGGATGTAAAGTGTGTCCAAAATCTGTAAGTAAATAAAAGAGAGATTACTGAAAATAGAATGAAAGGGTAGGACTACCAGAATTGACTGGGCAGGTTTGAGAAAGGTCCAAATAGAACTTCTGGAAATGAAAATAAAAATCTGTAATTGGAAACTCAGTGTCAGGGTTAGTAGCACATTAGACAGAGATGAAGGGAGAATTGGTGAACTGGATGGAAGATAGCTCTGACGGTCAAACCCAGAGAGGGACTTGGGGAGAGAAGTCTCATGATCCACAGGAAGAACTGACCAAAACAAGCCAGATTTTTGTCTTTTTTTTTTAACCCCCTGAATTACCAGGATACCCACTCCTTTTTTCTGTCCAGCAAACATCTGTTGAACAGTGGTTGTATATCATGCACTATTCACATCAAACCAGGTTAGAGATGGTCAGTCCTCGGCCTGTGGGTCAGAGAGCAAGTGTCCTTCTTTCATCCCTCAGTCTACCTTGAAATAAAAATGTATATATTAAGGGGGATGGCTTAAAACAATACTTTAAGTTAATAGTCTAAATGCGTGTAGATGCTCAGACAGGGGTAATTCATAGAGCAGAGCTAAGCAGCATTGTGCAGACATAAACTCTGACCACACACTTACACGTGAAATTACCCACTATAGGTCCGGAGACCTCAGCTGCAAAACCTGTCTGCTTCTCAAGGTTTCAGGAGTACACAGAGATGCCAGTGCCTGTTAGGGAGTGTATTCCTACCCTGAGTTATGGCTCCTGCCAACCCATCATCACAGGCCCTGCAGCCTCCTGGCTCCTACTCCCTAGGTATACTCAACAGTATAAGCCACTGAGTGTCACTGCCTTGAACTTGAAGGAATCCTCCCCACAAAGGGCCAGCTGGCAGAGGGTGGGCTTTCCCTCCACCCAGTTAGTGGATGTGCAGCCGCTAGTTCTGGACCCAGATCTGCTGGGCTTCTCCACCCCCTGGCCCCTGCAGAAAGGGTGATGTATGTCATAGGAGGAGGTGCTTGCCGAAAGGCCACCTCACTGCCCCTCTCCGTCCTCTCCCACATCTGCTGCCGTCCCTACTCAGAGAGTATGGTCGTGGACCATTCTGGCAGGGGCCCTCTGTACTACAAGTCAGAGGTAAGGTAGGAAATAGCTTTCCTGTGGCACCTCACAGCCTGATCGAGCCTGGGCGAGCCTTACAGCATCCTTTGGTAATGTGCCCATTCACTGAGGCAAGAGACTCAAGATGGTTTTCTGACACTCACTCCATCTTCCCATCCTGTCTCTAAATCCCTTAGAAGATTGAGCCCACCTCTGTTTCATCCTTTCTATTCTTTAAGTCAAAGTTATATAAGTACTTGGCCAAAAGGCTTTTTTACCCACTTCCATTCCCATTCCCCAGAAGGAATGACTTCTAGCTCTTCTGGTTGTCTCTTAATATTTCTAAATAACACGTATCCACAGCTCTTTCTTCACTGATCAGATTTGACCTGCACACCAACCTTCTGCTGTGACACAGACGAGGGTCTAGCAGTTTTATCTTTACGTCCCCCACAGTGCTTAGAATTGTGCTTTACATACAGTATCTGCAGCTCAGACATTGTTGAGGAGATAAATCTTTGCAGGGAACTCTGAGCTCAAAATGGAACTGACCACCGAGTTCCTGGCCTCCCCAGGGTGGCTCCTGGAAGAGAAGGCTGAGGGACTGCTCCTGGGTGGCTGAGTTCCCACCCTGCTGGTGCCACGCACAGCAGCATGCGGGCCTCCCACCTCTGGGAGCTGAGCCGTCTCTTTGGTTTGCTTTCCTTTCCTTTGGAGCCTTGTTTTTCCAAAATGTTGAGGCAGCCTCCCAGTCTTGGAACCTCAGGGAGGGATGAGATCCACGGCTACCCAGGTCAGACGTGAGATACCCAGAAAAGTCAGCTCCCAGGCTCGGGATGGAGGGAACCGGGTGAGGGCCCTGGGGCACTGGCACCCCCTCCCCTTGCACCTCTCCCCACACCTCTCAGCCCGGTCTCCTCTTGCTTTTGTGCAGAGTCCTGTTTTCTATTCGTCCTAACACGCCAGAAGCTCCCACCCTTTTGCCAGCAGGGATACCTGAGAACACAGGGGCTCGTGGGAACTGAGAGCCTCCGCCAGCACGGCGTGGAGAGCGGGTTTCTGTGGGACTATGCCACTGTGGGCCGGGGGGACAGCGGCCAGCAACCAGGCAACCACGGGCCAGGACAGCACCCTCTGGCTCCAGGGCCTCCGGTCTCGCCCTTCGACAGCAACAAAGAGGAGCTCTGATGGCCAGGCCTCTCCCGCCCAGGCCCACAGTCGGCCCTGCCCTTTCGCCACGGTTCAGTGCTCCCACCGACGTGATTGCCAGAGACACCTCAGATCATCGCAGTGACCGCACCAAAGCCACACGGAGGGCATGTAAGGGCTGAAGGGCGGCCACTCGGTGGTCTCCCCTCCTGTTCGGTTCAGAGGTGCCTGGGAAGTGGGGACCAGAGAAAGCATCTTCTGCCAGATGGAAGGGAGCTGCCTTCCACACCGGAATTGTCTGCAAATGAGCTGTCACGGAGCACCAGGCTGGCCTCAGTTCTGTCCCCATCAAGTGCCCAGTGGTTCCTTTTCCTTCCAGTTGTCGACTTAAAAAATATTCACAACCTAAAAGTTGAGAGTTATGTTTTATTCAGCGGGAATTCTTAAGACTTCAGACCCAGGAGGCAGCATCTCAAATAACCCTGAAAGAACTGCTCTGATGAGGTGAGGGGGGAGCCAGGTTATACAGAAGTTTTGCAACAAAGGGCAGGTGGTCTGAACATCAAAAGATTATTGTTAATTAAAGAAAGCCAGATATCCCAAGTTTAGGAATTTAGTGCCTTTCTGTGTATGGGAAGATGCAAGAGTCTGGGCTCACTGAAATCTTTCCTTTGATAGGCACCTCAGCTGTCTGGGGCCAATATCCTATGTTTTCACATCCTGAGTTTCCTCAGGGCTCACCGTGGGGAGTGGCTGCAGTCTGATGGCTGCTCAATGGCAGATATTCTTTCCTTCCTGAGCTCCCTCAGGGCTCACCAGCTCACATCAGTGGTGGCTGCAATCACTGATGAGTGTGGCATCCTTTGTTTACTGATGTAGCGGGAAATACTCCATTTCTCAGACCCTCCTCTCGGTTGGAAATTTGACCAATATTCGGGAGACATTTCATGACCAAATTTTGTCCCACGGCACTGGGAGGCGCATCCCAGATCAGGTGAACATTTTTGTTGATGTGTCACTCCAGGTGCTAGTTTCCAGATTAGGCCCTGTTGATAATTAAAGATTCTCTGGATCATCTGTCTTACTAGTCTACTATGATCCAGGAAATGTTTTCTCTTTTTGCTCCTTCCCGTACCTAGAATCACCCTATTACAATTATTCGATAAGAGTCATAAATGTGATGTTTCCTCAAGATGTTTAGCCATCATCAATTTTGTTGGAGGCCTGGTTACACACTGGGTACTGTAAGAGACAACAATCTTATAAAATAGACAGGATATAAGTAATGCAGCTAGTAATACTGACAAAGTCTTAGTGCAGCAGGGAGACACGAAGTACGAGCAATTTGGAAACAAAGAACAAATTAAAACAATTATTAGTATAACTAGTTGTAATCCAGTTGCAGTAAACCATCAAGTCCACAGGAGGGCCATCTGGAGAGGCCAAATTTTGGCAGGAACAGGTAGAAAAAGGTAAATGTTTCATCTTTGTTTACAAAGGTATACCTTATCAACTTGTTGTACATCATAGCATAAGAGAAAAGGTTTTTTTTGAAAAACAAAGATTAAAGCTAGTATATTTCCCAAAGTCATAAAGTTATAAATCATATTCATCAGTTCCTTCAGTCCCATGTCATTGATTCCTGTTGATCTGGATGAAGTAATCAGGTTTTGAGTTTTGTCATTTGTTACAGAGTTCAGTGGTATTATCTAAAGGCAATCAGAAACTTATATTTGGGGACTTCCCTCCCTGGTGGTGCAGTGGTTAAGAATATGCCTGCCAATGCCGGGGACATGGGTTCGAACCCTGGTCCAGGAAGATCCCACATGCTGCGGAGCACCTAAGCCCATGCACCACAACTGCTGAGCCTGTGCTCTAGAGCCTGCGAGCCACAACTGCTGAGCCTACGTGCCACCAACTACTGAAGCCTGTGCACCTAGAGCCCATGCTCTGCAGCAAGAGAAGCCACTGCAATGAGAAGCCTGCGCACCGCAGCGAAGAGTAGCCCCTGCTCGCCACAACTAGAGGAAGCCCGTGCACAGCAACGAAGACCCAATGCAGCCAGAAATAAATTAATTAAAAAAAAAAAAGAAACTTGTATTTGTTTTTTATGAGTCTTCTTAAAAATCTTCATTTTGTAAAAGCATCAGGACAAAACTTAAAATAGCATGGTTAAAGATCTGAGTACAGTGCAACTGGCAGGAAACTTGCATATTTCTGTGACATAACGTTTTAGGATAATAACTAGAATTATGACTGATAACATTATCTCAGGGCATATCAGATGTTAGGGATTCCATATAAATTTTTGGAATATCTATATTAATGACATTTACCCATACACTGTAACCTAAGGTTCATCTCCAATCACTTGACAATGTCTCTGAAGTAATTAAACATACCAGATAAACTTAATTAGTTTAACATTCATCTCTGAGATGTCTCAGGATGTTCCTTCAAAGCATCCCAGAGTCAGCTGTAGGCTAAAAGAGCTTTAGTTGGATTTTAATATTGGGGAAATTTGTTAAAAATATCAACAATGTTTTAAAACACAACAGGATCACAGGTCACTGTGAATCAGTACTTACTCATTTAACCAAAGTCACAAAAAGATTTTTAAAAAATACAGATCACTTAAGCCAGGTAGCCAGTTGTCTAGGTTTATCCAACTAGGTTTTAACCTTTTTTTTTTTTTTTTTTTTTTTTTTTTTTTGCGGTATGCGGGCCTCTCACTGTCGTGGCCTCTCCCATTGCGGAGCACAGGCTCGGGATGCACAGGCTCAGCGGCCACAGCTCATGAGCCCAGCCTCTCCGCGCACATGTGGGATCTTCCCGGACCGGGGCACGAACCCGTGTCCCCTGCATCGGCAGGCGGACTCTCAACCACTGCGCCACCAGGGAAGCCCTATATCATGGTTTTATCAGAGGCTCAGTCACACATTTGGTAATGTAAGAGACAACAATTTTGTAAAACAGGCAATATAAAAAATACAGCTAGCAGATTAGTAAGGTAATAAGTAAGAATTTAAGTCAAGAACTTTCATTAGGTGTGACCCAGTATATCCCAGGTCGCCTGACTTAGTCTGTTCTGTACCAATCCTTATATTTTAGGGAAATTATATATTGGCATTGTCCACAAGGCACCCAGTCCAGTTTTCTAGTGTTACTAGACTGCCTATCCTTAGTATGATTTAATTGTTCCCAGCATAGTGGAGCCTTTAAACTTAAATTACCATAGCCTGGTGTTAACTACATAAATCCATCCCATAATTGTGGGAGGTTTTATTTCTCGGCTGAAATTTTGCTTGTTGCTCTGATTGAACTTGAGTAATAGAGAAAAATTTATATTTATGGCCGAGGTCAGAACAGGTATTATAAATCCGCCAGGTGAGGGGATCTCATCTAGTAATATCAATAGTGGCCTGAACATGACTATAATTTTTCTTTAAAATAAATTTCCTAAGAGTCAACCAATTAGAGCCTTGGGGTGGAGAAATTCACTCAGCTAAACCAGAAATACTAGACACAGGTAATTGGCCACAAACCCAACAATTAGATTGATTTCAAAATTAGCATAGGATCATGCCTCTGATAGAAAAACATCCGATTCATATGCAAAGGTCCAAGAAGTCAAGAAAACATTATGAATGAGCATACGAGTCAGGTCGGGGATCTTGGGCTGTATACTTTTGCGGTACGCGGGCCTCTCACCGTTATGGCCTCTCCCGTTGCGGAGCACAGGCTCCGGACACGCAGGCTCAGCGGCCACGGCTCACGTGCCCAGCCGCTCCGCGGCATGTGGGATCCCCCCAGACCGGGACACGAACCCGTGTGCCCTGCCTTGGCAGACGGACTCTCAACCACTGCACCACCAGGGAAGCCCTGGGCTGCCTATTCTGATTGTCATCTTTCCATCCTGGTGTGAGTACAGTTTCCTCGTTTGAGCATTGTTTTAAGGTGATTTTGAGATCAGGCATCCTCTCTAAAGGTCAGTCCAGTACAGGGGCACTTTGTGAGTGAAAATTAATCCAAAAGTTAATTCCCTTTAGTTACACTGTGAATGAGCTAGTTAAGACTACCTGATAAGGGTCCTTCCATCCAGGTTGGAGATAGTCCTTTAAATTATGTTTTTTTCAGGGCTTCCCCGGTGGTGCAGTGGTTGAGAGTCCGCCTGCCGATGCAGGGCACACGGGTTCGTGCCTTGGTCAGCGAAGATCCCACATTCCGCGGAGCGGCTGGGCCCATGAGCCTGCGCGTCCGGAGCCTGTGCTCCACAACGGGAGAGGCCACAACAGTGAGAGGCTCGTGTACCGCAAAAAAAAAAAAAAATATGTCTTTTCCAATACGCATAATCCCCTGGTTATAGGTCTGGGGCATCTGATCTTCATCCAAAGATAGATTACTGCGATAAGCTTTAGAAACAAACTTAGAGTGTCCTTTAATAATTCTATTACACTTTTTAGCAGTATAACATAACAGCAAGGAACTATCAGAAAGTGAATCTTGGTAAACACAGACCTTAATTAACAAAACTAGAATTTAATATTCAGTGAAGCATAATTTTTTTGTTTCCATTGTGAGGGCATTAACCCTGCAGCCAGGGAAGGCTTTAACCCATCACATAAAAATGAGGTTTGTCATGGAGCTGGAAAAAGCCAAGCAGCCGTCTTGGATTTTCCATAGCCCTGACTGTTTGATTTACAGCAATTTTTAACTCATTTTAAATTCTCTGACTTAGGAGTAGACCATTGCCATGTTACAAAGACATCAGGATGGCAAAAGTCTGACAATGGGGGGTTAATTTCTGTAGAAGCAGGATGAACTTTATCTACATGTGCCAAAATCTTCATAGATCATTGTGAAATAATACTTATTTACTTTACCAAAGTAACAAAAGATTTTAAAAGCAAATACAAATCATTTAAAGGCAAAGAAATTTACATAGTCTGTTATTAAAAGCAGCATTCCAAGAAAATTTTGTTCTCTTAACAGAGAGAGAGAATCAAATTTCAGTCTACTCTCAATTAGCATGGCCTGATGGTTTATACAATTATAATCGATCATACAGGCTTTTTGCTCACTGAAATTTTTATA